GCTGGCTGAGGAATTCTGGGAGTTGAAGTCCACAAGTCTTAAAGTTGCCAAGGTTGGACAGCCCTGCCCTAGACCCTGAATCAAACCTGACATACTTATAGAAGGTGACAGCAATTCAACCCGCCTTATAGCGAATTAAATAGAGACAGTCCCTGACTTTGGCATTTCTGTTCCTAAACAAGACAGTGGTTAAGTTGCCTCGTTTTACGAACTGGCTGGCCTCAGTCGTTAAGTGAATCGCTGCAGGAGCCCAGATGTTAAGTGAATCTGGCTTTGCCCCTTGACTTGGCTTGTCAGAAGGTCACAAAAGGGGATCGGGTGTCGCTGCAACCGTCGGAAATGCGAGTCAGCTGCACAGCGTCTTGAGTTTCGATCACGTGATCATTTGAATGGTGCAGCGGTCATAAGTGTGAAAAACAATTGTAGGTCACTTTTTCCCCATACTTGTTGTGGTCCCCCGGCAGCCTGCAGAGACGGCAGCAGAGTCAGACAATAGGGAGGAACATGGGCCAGTCCGTGAGTCTGGGGAGGACTCAGACGAGGGTCCTGCGTCCGATGCAGAGATGGGACCAGGGCCACCTGGGAGTTATGTGCTGACTCTGGAGCCTCCAGGATCTGAGAGCAGCGAGGCAGAGGAACAAGGGGAGCCTGTTCCCAGTGTGCGCATGCACAGAGCTGCCCGAAGGCAAGAACAGTTAAGACAAAAGGGGCAACTCAGGAGTAAGGCTTGGAGGTGATTGGCCCTCCCATTAGACATAAAGAAGCAGCAAAGGGACAGAAGCCTTTGCAGGAAGCAACTTTGTTCACTCTGTTCGGATTAAACCTTGAAGCTCTGTGTGGACTTTGTACTTTGGTTGTTTTTTTCCAGTTAATTTGGCACTTTAGTTGTTGGCAGCAATTCAAAGGAGAGAAAGGTGGGTGCTTATCTCGAGGAACTGCTTGGGTCTCATTACAAGCTGGGAATGCACATAATTCCCAGCGTTGAAATAAAAAGAGTTGTTTGGACTAAGTGCGTGCTTAATTATGGTCTCAGGAAGTATTGTAATTTCAATACTACTGTATTATATGGTCACTAAGCGAGTTGTTAAATTGAGGACCACCTGTATAGTTTAATTTGGTTTTGCCACAGATCTATTCTCCCTGCTAATTTTAGGCACGTGCCAGAGAAACGATATTCATTTCTTTATTAGGTTTTTAGCGTGATGTGCATCGGTTCTTTGAACTAAGCCAGTGTCTGCCAGGCTCCAAATTTTCCGAAGACTTTTCTTTTAAATTGCTCTTTGCTTTTCTTAACTGCTGATTCTCTCCCTCCTCCTGGGTGTGTTATTTGCAAAGCCTTTTTACAAGACCGGTTCTGTCATCTTCCATTTGACTTTGCAAACGCCCGATGAACCGTTAAGCTTAAGTCAACAAATCGATTTGTAATGCAGAAATAAATGAGGGAAGGGATGGGACATGGATGTGAATAGTTAGAAACTCACCAAATCTTATCTGCTTCTTATCTTTTTTAAAAAAAAAAAACTGATTTTTTTTTCCTTAGCAATCCCTTTCTGACCAGCCAAATCCCATGGGGAAAGCCACATTCTCTTAACAAACCTTGACAAACAAGGTGGCAAGAAAAGCCGTAAAACAAGGCGAAACACACTTAACAGATAACAGATCATCAGAGTTGGAAGGGACCTTGTAGGTCATCTAGTCCAACCCCCCACCCAAGCGGGAGACCCTACACCATTTCTGACAGATGGGAGTCCAATCTCTTCTTAAAAGTCTCAAGTGATGAAGAGGCAACTTCTGTTCCACGGGTTGATTGTTCTCCCTGTCAGAAAGTTTCTCCTTATTTCCAGGTTGAATCTCTCCTTGTTCAGTTTCCATCCGTTATTCCTTGTCTAGCCTTTGGGTGCTTTGGAGAATAGCTTGACCCCTTCCTCCTCTTTGTGGCAGCTCCTCAAATATTGGGACACTGCTATCCTGCCTCCCCTGGTCCTTCTCTTCCCTAGACTAGCCAGGCTCAGTTCCTGCAACTGTTCTTCGTATGTTTGAGCCTCCAGTCCCCTCATCATTCTGGTTGCTCTTCTCTGCACTCTTTCTAGAGTCTCAGCATCTTTTTTATAGTGTGGTGACCAAAACTGGATGCAGAACTCTAGCTGTGGCCTTACTAAGGCTTTATAGAGTGTATTACCACCTCCCTGTAAGTTTCAAGGTGGGACAAGATTGCAAGGGGAACAAAAATCCAAATTTTTCCAGCTTTCCCCTCCTTTTCAGTGGGGTGGGGGGTGGGGGGGTCCCCTGTGTTCGTCTCCGGCACTTCAGTCACCTAGTTACTATCTTTGAAAAACTATTTATGGAATGCACTTTTGGTTTCCAAGCTGCCGCACTGCTCTTTCAAACCCCTCCCCCCACTTTCTGTTGGCAACTCTAAAAAGACCATGGAAATATTTTATGAGTTGACAGGCTATTTGTGAAGCCTGTCAGGCTGGGAATGAACGCAATTCACAGCCGTGGGAATAAAAAGAAGTTTTGCCGGAACAAAGATTGTGTTTTATGCTTTCTAAGGAAGCCTAAGGAAGCCCAGAACCCCATCCCTGACTCCTTCGCCGCTTGTCCTTCTGGGTCATGGAGTCCCTCGTGTCTCTTCCCATGGGGGGGTGCGGGACACTGTCCTTGAGAAGGGGTCCCTGAACTTTGTCCTTAAATCTGGCAGGTCTCCTGGTTGGGACGTTGGACGCCGTCCTGGATTCCACATCGAAAGTGGCCCCTTTCCGTATCTTGCACCAGACTCCGGATTCCCAAATTTACTGGTCTATTGCGTGCGGTAAGTACAAGAAATTATTTCTTTTTCTTTTTTCTTTTTTTTAACAAAAATACTTTCATTAGGTGTAATGCCAGAAAGTTACGATAAAGGGGACTCTATACTTAAATGTGACACGTATTGAGAGCAGCGGGAATTGCATTTGCGCAATATTGGAAAAAATGAGAACGCCCCATCGGATGAAAACATAATTTGGAGAATATTGGACTTGGGCAGAGATGGATAGATTGACACTGAAACTAAAAGATAAAGGAGATAGAATACTATTCAACGTGGACTAGGTTTTTATTGACGGTTAGAGATAAGAGGTAGAAATTAGGTGAAGAAAGAGCATTGTTATGTATAAGTAAAATATGAATGTTTACAATTATCAGTACGCTAGTATGATTAATATGATTATAAATAAACTAATATAAATATCGTTATAATTATTATGTGTATTATTAGCTCGATACCTCTGCTTCGTTACAAAACTATGTGGTCGGGCTTAGTTTTTGGAGAGGAAAATAAAGGGGGAGGGGAAATTCTGCCTCTGCCTACCAGCATCCAACGGCATTTGTCTGGCTAGCTTCCTGTCAGTGTGTGAGAGAGTTGAGGGCTGTTTGGAAACTGAAACAGTTATTTGCTGCATGAGCAAGAAGGAGACAGCAAGGAGCCTGGGCGTGGCTTAGTTCAACTGTTCTGTACTAAAGCTGCTTCGTACTCTGAAGGTAAAACTGAAACTCCTCTGCTTGTTTTGCATTTGGAACAGATTTCTTTTCAGGTGGGGAGGGGCAATAGAACTCCTTAGCATCAGAGCGTGTTAATAATAATAATATAGGAAATATTAATGCTCTGATGGCCATTTCAAAAATCCTTTCTTAGTGAGCACCTAGAAGCCAAGAGGAACATAAGCGCCAAATGTCAAGTTTGTAGGCTTTGTGGTTCTGGAGATTTTTTGATGATGTGTGAGTGGTATTTCACACACACACACACACACACACACACACACAACTATCAGTATATCTGTCACTTTCTTCTTTGGTAAAATGAAATGCCTGGACAATACACTGTCTTCAAAGTATTCATATATAAATAAATGAAAAACTTGATTTAAAAAAAAAAGAAATTCTTATTTTTTGTTTTCTCATTTATTTACATGCAGTCCTCAACGTACAACATTTCGTTTAGTGACAACCCCCCTCCCAAAAAAGGGACTTGTGACCATTTCTCACACTTGTGATTTAACACTTGCAGTGGTTCACTTAACAGGCGTGGCAAGAAATGAGGCAAAACTGCCTTAGCAAAAGGTCTCACTTAGCAACATGAATTTGGGGCCCGATTGTGGTCGTATGTCAAGAGCTACCTGTGTTGACATCTCCATTTTATCGTTTTTTGCAAATAACTCAAAGGTGGCAAACTTATTCCACCCTCCTTCCTGTTTCCCCACCACGACAACAGAAATGAGGGTCAAATATCTTTTAATTGAAGTACAGTTTTTTTGTCACTCAGGAACCAGCCGAGAAGAGATAACAGAGCACTGGGAATGGTTGGAGCGTAATGTGATGGATACTCTCTCCGTCTTCGACTCCAATGAGGACATCGTAAGCTTTGTGCACGGGAAAATTCAAGTACGTACAAGCACATCATGGGGCACTTCAGGATGAGGTTTTAACAGATTAACAGAGCCGGAAGGGACCTTACAGGTCATCTAGTCCAATCCCCTGCCCAAGCAGGAGACCCTACACCTTTGATGGTGAACCAGGCACGCAGAGCCATTTGTGCCGGCACGTGAGCTGCAGGCAAATTTACCTCACTGCGCATGTGCGCGCCTCACAGCTGATTTTCAGCTGGTTTGAGGCTTTTTTCAAGAGGAAGGAACATACGTGCCAAATTTCAAGTTTGTAGGCTTTACAGTTCTGGAAATTTTGTGATGATGCATGAGTGGCATTTCGCTTTTATATATATATATATATATATATATATATATAGATTTATTGGGTGGGTGGGTTCGTACAATATGTGCTTAACAAACAGTGTACTAGCTGGGTCAATTCATTTACATCTCAATCTCCTAATTTCTACCTCTTTTGCCCAACCATTGATAAAACAAGTCTCAAATTCGAAAATAATCTTATGTCTTTTTCTTTTATCTTCAGCGTTAATCTGTCTATTTCTGCACAGTCCAATATTTTCCTAATTATATCTTCTTCCATGGGTGTTTTCTCGCTTTTCCATTGTTGCACAAATACAATTCTTGCCGTCGTTAAAACTGGCCATATCAAATATATATTCTCTTTGTCATATTTTTTTTCTGTGGTATTATGCCTAACAAAAATAGTTCTGGCTTAAAATATATATGTTACCTTAATTTTTTTTTTTTTAACCACATATGCATTTTCACCCAAAACCTTTTTGCTTTTGGGCATGTCCACCACAGGTGGTAGTATGTGCCTGGTTATTTTTATCACATTTCCAACATTCCTACTTCCATGTAGCTTCATAATGGAGACCATGATGGCGATTGAATTTTGGCAAATGGACTTTAATTCCCACACCAGTTAGATTACTTTTGGAAACTATGGGCTCATGTTTATTAGCCTCTTGTCTCCTTTTTGTTTTTCAGGGCTTAATTGCTGAGGAGAGTAAAGGGTCTTTAATAAGAGAAGAAGATCCAGAGAAGTTCCGGGAAGCCCATCTGAAGTTTGAGAAGTGTTTTGGGTTGGCCGAACAGGAGAAACTCGTGACTTACTACTCATGTAGCTATTGGAGGGGCCGGGTGCCCTGCCAAGGCTGGCTGTATCTGAGCACCAACTTCCTCAGCTTTTACTCGTTCCTGCTGGGAGCCGAGAGTAAGTAAGATCATTCCCTGAGGCATGGTTTTATTTATTTATTTTATTCAAGCAATATGGCCGCCCATCTCTTCACAGGACGGTGAGCAGCAGTTAAAAATACAACCAAGCAAGAATAAAAATACATAATTGGAAGAAAATTAAACCATAGATCAGGGATGTCCAACTTTGCCATTTTAAGTCTTGGCTTAAAGTCTGTTAAAGTCTTAATGGCTGGTTGGGGAATTCTGGGAGTTGAAGTCCACAAGTCTTAAAAGTTGCCAAGAATTTCTCACCCTTCCTATAACTCTACATCAATGGTGTTTGAAGCCACTAGTATACAAGAGTCAAAGCAAACCCTGATGATGTTACCTAGTTTGGTAATGAAACGTCTGCAAGAAAACCGCAAAGCTCAGAATCCACCCAGAACCCCACAGCATCTCCTCCTGATTGCTTCAGGTAAAGTCTATATGGTCTCTGGGTAGTGAACCCTGAAAAGCGCAACCCAGATAAACAGTGGTGTGTAGGTCACAGTTAGAAATATTCATCAGTGGAATGAGTTGCTTGCAGAAGTTGTGTGTGCTCCATCACTGGAGGTGTTCAAGAAGAGGTTAGACTAACTTTTGCTGGAAGGTCCATGATCTCCCCAAGGTCAGAAGTGGGTATTCAGCAGGTTCTGAACAGTTCTGGAGAACCGGTAGCAGAAATTTTGAGTAGTTGGGAGAACTAGCAAATACCACCTCTGACTGGAGATTTTACAGTATCCTTCCCCTGCCACGCCCACCAAGCCACGCCCACAGAACCAGTAGTAAAAAAATTTGAATCCCACCACTGCCCAAGGTGCTTTTTTTTCCCCCAAGAGACAAGTGGACTTTCTGGTTTTTCTTTGAAAACGTTTTGCTTCTCACCCAAGAAGCTTCTTCAGCTCTGAGAGAAGCTGAAGCAGCTTCTGAGAGAACCTGAGGAAGCTTCTGGGATGAGAAGTGAAACCTCTTCAAAGAAAAACCAAAAAGTCCAGTGGCCTCTTGAAAAAAAAAAAAAAAAGCACCTTTGGGACAACCATGACCCGGATGAACTGAGGATCTCTACAGAGAGATACAAAGTCTCCTGCTTGAGCAAGGGTTGGGTTGGAAGACCTCTAAGGTCCCTCCCAACAACTCCGTTGTTCTCTTATTCTCCCCTCTGCAGTCAAACTCATAATAGCCTGGGATGAGATCTCCAAACTTGAAAAGACGTCCACCGTGATCCTGACCGAAAGCATCCACGTTTGTGCCCACGGAGAGGACCATTACTTCTCCATGTTTTTGCACCTGGGTGAGACCTTCCTCCTCATGGAACAGCTGGCTCTCTACGCCGTCCGGAGACTCTTCGACAAGGAGGGGTTTGAAGCTGACCCGGTCCTCTGCGACCCCTTGCAAATCACTAAGAGGTCAGTTGTCAGGATTCCGGCAGTTGGTAAAACACAAAAAACAGAAATGAGAGAGAGAGAGAGAGAGAGAGAGCGCAATTTCCCACAGAAAACACCAGGAGCCACAAACATGGGTCGGCATAGCCGGTGGCCATTGAGTTGGCCACGCCCACCCAGGTTTTGTGGCTCCCGGTGTTTTCTTTTCTGTGGGAAACGGGTCCAAGTGGCACTTGGGGTATTTAAGGTTGCCAACTCCTGTCCTAACTTGTCAGCTGCAGTGATTGACTTAACAACAGTGGCAAGAAAGGTCGTAAAGCGGGGCAGAACTCGCTGAACAACGGTCTCGCTTAGCAAGAGAAACGTTGGGCTCAAAACGTGTACGTCGAGGGCCACCTGTGCTTAATTTTACAAATGGGAATGCCAATTTTCCAAACTGGGGGTGAAAGAACTACGAAGGTGTTTCGGTCATCGGAAATGACGGTGACGCCGTCAAGGGGAGACGTTGTTCAGAGGTCTTCTTCTCTTTTGGGGCCCGTAGAGGACTGGAGAACCGGGCCCATAGCGAGCAGTTCAACGCCTTCTTCAGGCTGCCCAGCGAGGAGACATTGCGGGAGGTCCACGAGTGTTTCCTGTGGGTGCCCTTCAGCCACTACCACGCCCTGGGGAAGATGTGCCTCTCGGAGAACTACGTCTGTTTCGCCAGTCAAGATGGCTGCCTGTGCTGTGTCATCCTCCCCACGAGAGAGGTGAGCGGAGAAGACGCTCCCTGCAAACCATCTGAGCCAAACTTTGGATGGCTTTTCTTGGCAAGAGATGGTGAAGGAGAAAGGAAAGGAAGGTGGAGGAGAGGGAAGGGGAGGGAGGGAGGGAGGAAAAGGGGAAGAGGGAAAGAGGAAGGGAGGAAGGAAAAGGGAGAGAAGAAAGGGAGGAAGGAAAGAGGGAGGGAGGAAAAGGGAGGGAGGAAGAGGAAGGAAGGGAGGAAAAGGGAGAGAAGAAAGGAAGGAAGGAAAGAGGGAGGGAGGGAGGAAGAGGAAGGGAGGGAGGGAGGAAAAGGGAGAGGAGAAAGGAAGGAAGGAAAGAGGAAGGGAGGGAGGAAGAGGGAGGGAGGAAGAGGGAGGAAGGGAGGAAAGGGACAAAAGGAAGGAAGGAAAGAGGGAGGGAAGGAGGAAAGGGGAGGGAGGAAGAGGAAGGGAGGGAGGAAAAGGGAGAGAAGAAAGGAAGGAAGGAAAGGGAGGGAGGGAGGAAAAGGGAGGGAGGAAAGAAGGAAGAGGGAAGCAGGGAGGAAGGAAAAGGGGAGGGAAGAGGAAAGGAAGAAAGGATGGAGGGGGAGGAACAGTGGGAGGAAAAGGGAGGGAGGAAGGAAGAGGGGGAGGCAGGGAGGTAGGAAAGGAAGGAAGTGGATGAAGGGAGGGAGGAAAAGGGGAGGGAGGGAAGAAATGGAAGGAAGGAAGGAAGGAAGGAAGGAAGGAAGGAAGGAAGGAAGGAAGGAAAGGCCAGTTTTCAAAGTTTAGACATGGCTACCTAGCCAGCAGAGCTTGAAAGGATGGGGGCATTCAAGATGCATCCATTTGTCCTCTTAAGAGTTTGTAGGTTCTCGGTCTAGTGGCCACCTGAGAGGGTGACTGTAGTCTCTTCCTTCCCAACGCCCGCAGATCACTTCAGTTGAGGTCGCTGACCGCGCCTGCAAAGCCATCACTGTCGCTACCAAAGGATCGCGGGCTTTCCGTTTCTCGGAAGTGAGGGATTTTGAAGCTCTGGTGGAAAAGCTCAGGACCAGGTGCAGTGCGGCACCAAGCCCCCAACACAGCGCGAGTGCGGAGGTAAGGGGGTTCGCAACCCTAAGTTCTATACCTGCAACAAATTTGGGTTTTTGTGTGTGTGTGTGTTGTATAGGTAACCTTCAAGAAGTGAGGGGAGCTGAATGTCAACTAAAAAATACTCCTTTGGTCTTTTTAGTTGCCAGCAGAAAGGGAGTGGGGGGAAGGCAGTGCATTCCTTAAATGCCACAGATAATCACCTTGGCAGCCGAAGCTGTTGGCGCGCAAGATTATTACTGGAGAGCATGATTGATGACTCTTGGCTATGGATGTGTCCCATTGGAGAATATACATCCGGGGGTGGGGGAAGACCAGGGTCAAGGGGGAAATGAATGATGTGTCAGAGTCGGCTGCAACCAGGAAATGCCAATATTGCCAACTCCTAATAAATCAATCTTTTTTTACTCTGAGAGATGCGGCTAGAGACTTGTGGTTTGAATGGGGGTGCATGTTGCAGCCCTGACAGCTCCCCCTTGTTTGCAGTGCCTGGAAAAGGTGCCCAATGGAGCAGTGATCTCTTTTCTTTGCCTGGAGACCCGTGGAACTCTCTGCCACCAGATGTGAGGGCAGCCACCCGCAAAGAGAGCTTCTCAAGAGCCCATTCGGGGGTGGGGGGTGGGATCTAAATAAGGACAGCATTACTGTGCTTACCAAAAATTGGGCTGTGTTTGCTCAGGGCAGTTAACCACGTTGGGGTTAGAGTAACCTCTGCGTCAATATTCACACAACAGATTCATCTTTGTTAGGTTACGTTTCTGATGGTTTCTTCCTTTGCTTTTCCTGGTCTCTTTCTTTGTTGGGTTCAGAGTGTTGTGTGAATCCATTAAATCAGGTCAGTTGGATAACCAAATAGCAATAGCAATAGCTCTTAAGACTTATATACCGCTTCACAGTGCTTTGCAGCCCTCTCTCAGTGGTTTACAGAGTCAGCCTCTTGTTCCCCAATAATCTGGCTCCTCGTTTTACTGACCTCGGAAGGACGGAAGGCTGAGTCAACCTGGAACGGGTCAGGATCAAACTCCTGGCAGTGGGCAGAGTTAGTGTGCAATACTGCATTCTAGCAACTGGGAAGGGAAGGAAAGGAAAGGAGAAAGGAAGGAAGGAAGGAAGGAAGGAAGGAAGGAAGGAAGGAAGGAAGGAAGGAAGGAAGGAAGGAATAGCATTTACATTTATATACTGCTTCACAATGCTTTTACAGACCTCTCTAAGCGGTTTATAGAGTCAGCCTCTTGTTCCCCAACAATCTGGGTTCTCATTTTACTCATTTTGGAAGAATGGAAGGCTGAGTCAACTTGAGCTGGTCAGGATCAAACTCCTTGCAGTGGGCAGAGTTAGTGTACAGTAATGCATTCTAACTGGGAAGGAAGGAAGGAAGGAAGGAAGGAAGGAAGGAAGGAAGGAAGGAAGGAAGGAAGGAAGGAAGGAAGGAAGGAAGGAAGGAAGGAAGGAAGCAAGCAATAGTATTTACATTTATATACTACTTCACAGTGCTTTACAACCCTCTCTCTAAGCGGTTTATAGAGTCAGCCTCTTGCCCCCAACAATCTGGCTCCTCACCCACCTTGGAAGGACGGAAGGCTGAGTCAACCTTGAGCCTGGTGAGAATTGAACTGCCAAATTGCAGTCAGCCGGCAGACAGTGGAAGGACTGCCCTCTAACCACTGCACCCCCATGGCTCATATAATGACTTCTCTTAGAGGTTGACCACAGTTTTTTGAAGAAATGAGGGGAGGGGGAAGCACTGTAAAATGCAAAAAGGGAGCCCACCCTCCCTTGTGCGCCCAGGCCTGCCCTTCTGCAGGATTTTAATCCTTAGTTGTTTGGATTTACGCCCCGCATTTCTTCTCTCTAACAAAGTTCTACACCTTCGCTTCTTCCAATGCCTCTCACAGGCCAGGGTTAGCTCAGAGACCACCGCCGTCTGGGAGGACTTCGAGGGGCAGCCGATGGCCAGCCACAAAGGCAGCAGCACCACGGTTAGCACGGAAGCCCTGATGACCGTCTTTCACCCTCAGGATGCGGAGAACCTGGATTCAAAGATGGTAAGAAGGGATCCTGGTTACTCATCAACAGCAAGATCTCTTGTCCCGAATGTGCTTTTTCTTTTTCCAAGAGGCCACTGGACTTTCTGGTTTTTCTTTGAAGAGGTTTCGCTTCTCATCCGAGAAGCTTCTTCCGCTTTTCTCAGAAGCGTCGTCAGCTTCTCTCAGAGCAGAGGAAGCTTCTCAGATGAGAAGAGAAACCTCTTCAAAGAAAAACCAGAAAGTCCAGTGGCCTCTTGAAAAAAAAGCACCTTTGGAGCAACCATGACCTGATGATGATGGAGAATCTCTATAGACATCAAGACCTGTTGTGATATCTCACTTTCTTTGTGCTTTGCTGAGTTTTTCCTTTTGATACGGAGCGGCAAAACTCAAGATTCGGCAAAACTCACAGTAGAGTAGAGCAGAATAGAACAACAGAACAGAACAGAACAGAATAGAATAAATTTTTTTGTCACTTGAACATACATTAATCTGCATACATTAAAATGAAATTTTTTTCCATACACTTCTCACTTAACAAATGTCTTGCTTAGCATCGGGCTTAATTACGGTCGTAAGCCTGTGTTTAATCTTGCCAGTAACATTTTGTCTGCAGCCATCTTATTTTTTTTTAATTCCGGGATAGAGCCTCTTAATTTTGCATTCTTCTGCCTCTCTCTTTCTCTGTTTAAAATAAAAAAAAAATTCTCATTGAATTTTAACCTTAATATAACCCCGTTGATGGCATTCCCGGTGTTTTGTGATCGTTCTCAAGTGGCCTCTTGATCACCTTGTTCCATTAGTTAAAAGAAAAAATGAAAGAGCAATCCTGGAACATCCTTTTCATAGAGTGCGGACGGGGCGTGAGTATGTTTCAGACGAGGAAAACCCGGGACTTGGTTCTCCGAGGAATCCCTGAAGTCTTAAGAGGAGAACTTTGGCTTCTGTTCTCAGGTATGGTCCATATTTGGAATAATGAGGCAGATCACTCCCTTTATATACTGCCTTCCTTGGTGGAGTGGTGCAGTGGCTTAGAGGTAGAGCTCTCGCCTCACAGTCAGGAGGCTGTGAGTTCAATTCTAGTTAGAGGCAGATATTTTCCTCTCTGAGCACAATATAACTGCTGGACAAAACTCTGTACTGGCGACAGGAAGGCATCCGGCCAGTAAACACACTGCTAGCTCCATTCAGTTACCCAAACTCCACCCCACAAGGGATTATGGAGGTTGTTAAAAGAAGATGATGATATACATAAATAGTCCCCAAGTAGACTTGAAGGAACATCTCCAGATGATCCTTCCCATCAGGTCGCATACAGTCAACATTGAGTGGGTGGGGGAGGGGAGCCCATTCTCCTTCGGGTCCAGCTCAATTAACAGCTGGCTGTGGAATTCTGGGAGTTGAAGTCCACAAGTCTTGCCAAGTTTGGAGACCTCCCTCTCCGTCCAATCTATGCAAAGCTGGGGCATTTGAGATGCAATGACCACAGCCACACACACCCCTGTCCAGGCGCCGTCAATGACATGGCAAGCCATTCTGGCTACTACTCGGAGCTGGTAGAAAAATCTTTTGGGACCTGCACCCTGGAGACGGACGAAATCGAGCGGGATCTGCGGCGCTCGCTGCCCGAGCATCCCGCCTTCCAGAGCGACACGGGCATCTCGGCCCTCCGGAGAGTCCTCACCGCCTACGCCTACCGGAACCCCAAGATTGGCTACTGCCAGGTAGGCTGCACCTCCGGTTTCCAACTTGGTTCCCGTTGTCCAAGCCAGTGCTTGCCAATCAGTGGGCTGGGGACCACTGGTAGTCCACGAGAAAATGTTGGTGGTCCGCAGAGAAATGTCCTCCCCCCCAAAGCAATTAATCCAGGCTGCGCGGGAACACAAGGCTGTTCCACCCACATGACCTGCGGGAACACAAGGCTTGCGTCGTTTGCATTGCAAACAACATGAGGTAGTGAGCGGAGGGGGGAAAGGGTGGAGGGGGGAACTTGCCCCACGCATCCCACACGCCTGGCCTGGCCACCGGGCTGCTTCTTTCCGCTTCTTTCTTCTGCTGCTTTTGGCTGCACACAAGGAAAGCAGCAAAAGTCTTTCTTTCTCTCCCCCAAACTCCGCCAGAAAGGAGTCTTTGGGACCCTGCAAGGCCTCCTGCTCCAAGAGGCTGCACCAGCAAAGGCTCATTTCTGGTGGAGTTTAGGGGAGAGAAAGAAAGACTTCTGCGGCTTCTGCTGTTTTCCTTGCATGCAGCCAAAAGTCTCTCTCTCTCTCTCCCCTCTCTCTTTCTCTTCTCTTCTCTCTTTTTCTCCTCTCTTTCTTCTTTCTCTTTTCTCTTTCTCCTCTCTCTCTTTCTCTTTTCTCTTTTTCTCCTCTTTCTTCTCTCTCTTTTCTCTTTCTCCTCTCTCTCTTTCTCCTCTATTTCTTCTCTCTCTCTGCTCTCTCCTTTCTCTCTTTCTCCTCTTTCACTTTCTCCTTTTTTTCTTCTCTCTCTTTCTCTTTCTGTCTCTTTTTCCTTTCTTCTCTCGCTTTTTCTCTGCTCTCTCTGCTCTCTTTCTTTTTCTCCTCTTTCTCTCTCTCTCTCTGTCTCTCCCCTCTCTCTCTCATAAACACCCACCCTTGGTTACATGATGGCATTTCAAGGGCTCAGCAACAAACTCACATTTATGGCTGTTTGCATAACCACAGTTTACATGTCTGCCCCCCAAAAAAAATAAAAATATTGCTCAGCGTAACAAATGGGGATTTGTTAAATATGCTCTTGCCCAGGTGTCTTCATAAACACTGCAGCCGCCCTGCGGTGGCCATAATCATTGATGCACGAATATCATGTCAGCGAGGGGACGCTGAAAAGGACAGAAGGCCAAACGAAGAATAATAATAATAATTAACATCCATGTTGGTTTAAAGGCCATGAATATACTGACGTCGGTGCTGCTCCTTTACGCCAAAGAAGAGGAAGCCTTTTGGCTGCTGGTGGCCGTCTGCGAGCGGATGCTGCCCGACTATTTCAACCGCCGAATCATCGGTACCGTTTCCTTTGGGTTTCACCGTGACGGTCGCTTTCATGAGGGGTGGTAGCAGAGACAGAATAGAACAGAGCAGGAAGGGATCTCAGTCGCCGAAGAAACGGTCGTTGAGTGAGGACCACCTGTGGAGTGTTATTTTGCCTACCACATATATTTCTGTATACAACTGTTGTATATAAACCACGGTTAAATTGTCTCTGTGCCTTGTGTTTTGGTCCTGGGTTGTCTGAATAGTAGACACGTTGCAAACTCTCTGACAGATTTGTTCCTTCAGTGGCTAGATAAAAGCGGTAGAAAATAGAGGAAAAAAGATTACTGAGATGTACAAGTAAATGATGAAAGATTATTATTATTATTATTATAAACAAAGGTTACTATTACAATGATTAATACTGTTAGAATTATGATTACTATGATAGCATTTTACTATGTTGTGTAAGCAAATTGACTCGGACAATACACTGTATATTAAGCACTTAATGTATATTAAAATAAAAATAAAAAATAAATTATATATATGTATAAGTTCGCCTTTGCTCCTACTACTAGGTTAAGCCATCCGTCTCTTTCAGGCGCCTTGGTCGACCAGGCCGTGTTTGAGGACCTGATCCGCGAATATTTACCTCAGCTGACGGAGCACACGACCGACATGACTTTCTTCTCCTCCGTCTCCCTCTCCTGGTTCCTCACCCTCTTTGTCAGCGTGCTGCCCATCGAGAGCGCCGTCAACGCGGTCGATTGCTTTTTCTACGATGGGATCAAGGCCATCTTGCAGCTGGGCCTGGCCGTGCTGGACTACAACCTGGAGAAGTTGCTGGCTTGTAAGGATGACGCGGAGGCAGTCACCGTGCTCAGCAGGTGCTGGCGAGGGCTGGTTGTGGGTTGGTTGTGGTTGTGTTTTGGGTTGAGGGGCTGAGGGGTTGGGCTACCTGTTGTGCAGTGGCATGGGTGTGTTTGTTTGTCTGTTTTCCACTTTTATTATTTTTAGAAGGCAGTGAGACTATCTTAACACAGGGGTCTCCAACCTTGGCAACTTTAAGACTTGTGGACTTCAACTCCCAGAATTCCTCAGCCAGCAAAG